CAGGTAGCAAAAGTACTGTAAAAGTCCCCGTAGAATCTTGCATGGTGATCTACCTTCAGTTGATGGCAATCTATAGCCCATTTTATATTGTATTGTTCTATTTAGTAATATCGTTTTTGATAGCATGCGATTTTACTTTAATATCTGTGATATACTAGAAGTTTTACTGTTCTTCGACAACGGTCTTTTCATTTCTAATTATATTGATTTATAATATACTAATTTAATGTTTTCGTCACGATATGGCTGAAATATTGTCGATGTGACGATAAATATTAACTCACTCACTCATCTGTTTATCTGTCTGTCTAATCCTACTAAGAGCAAACATTGTTTGCACATATCATATATCAGCAGAGGGGAGTAAACAATTCATCAATCACATGACCCTTTCCCTATCTCGATGTTTCACTTCCTGGTGGCCGAGTAGTGTACAGTGTTAGTGTACAGATACTGTACTACAGAATTATGAGGTTTTCATAAGAGAAGTAAGCACGGACAAATTTACGTTCTTTTCGTTGTAATTCCGTGTGTATATGCGAGTAACTGCACGTGTACCTTGATGGTGACCACACATCGTTGTGCTTTCCTAAATGTCCCATTTAACCATACAGCTTATGGGCGGCTATTGTAAACACAGCACGATTACTTTTAAATGACACCCTATCTTGTTCAAATATCTCAACACCGACGTAAACCTGTAATGCGCACGGCAAACACCCATTCATTACTATGTACACTTAATAGAAATATCATTGAATCTGTTTTAACTGATAGGACGAATACAATGTGGCTTACCTGAAGTTTTCATTATATGTGATTTTTCATTATTTGAAAAAGGTTCTTGCAATCATTGCAATTTGTACGAACGGAATTACGCTACTGTGCCTCGATGAATGTAGATGAACTACCAGAATTGTCATATCCCCAGAGCATACTTACTGTTCCTCGATGAATGTAGATGAATTGTTAATTTTCCTACTTTGTTAATGAGCTATTTTCAAAGAAGCACCTCTCATCATGAACCATAATGTTTTGTTACTGTCTGACACACATCACTACTCCCTTGACGTTATGTATAATATTGATTCCAGAAAACCTTCCGATGTTCAGTAAATATTTGTGATAGATGAGTACAGGTGCTTACACGAGAGAAGTAGAAAATGCCGTTATATGATAGGTTAACACGATTGTGTGTCTTCGGATGGCAACCATTATAATACATTGGGACTAAACACTATGGCTGTATATAAGTCGTTGAATACAAAGTGGCGGAATCACGTGACTTGAAATTAAACACTTCCACACAACACTTCAAAGTACAGACTGGCTGACAAAATTAAAAGTTTATCAGTTATGCATTCCAGTACAGTTCAATGTGTCTTACGTAGAACTCATACGCAGTCGTTTTCATTACCGAACTGACAAATGCATTCATGTCAGCTTTGACTCTCCTAGCACGTACATTTCCATAGGTAATATATATATATATATATAAACGTGGCAAATTGTTGCACCAAAATGCAAACTGCAACACTGCAACATTGCGGCCACACGACAAGATATCCGTTACATATTCATGAGGGAAAAAATATCAAAGCCGATTTAACACTAGACCAGGCGCTTTGCATAAGCTACCCTATATTCATCCACAGTAAGGCGATGACGACACATGACTGTCAACCAGATCCTCACTTAGCAGTACCTTGGAGGTAAGGTGATCTTTCCTGTTATTCCATTTGCAGTGATCGTTAAGAGGTGATCCTCACATGAATCAATTGCAGTGAGCGCTTTGAGGTGATCCTCCCCATTATTTTTGGGCCTAGCGCTAAGAAGTGTGTTCCCCAGTGATTCAATTTGTATTGAGCGTTAAGAGGTGATCCTCCCAATGATTTGTTTAGAGCTAGCGCTAAGGGGTGGTGTTCCCAGTGATTCAATTTGCGGTGAGCGTGAAGACGTGACCCATACATGAATCAGTGTATAGTGAGCGCTAAGTGTTGATGTTCCCCTTGATTCAATTTGTACTGTGCGCTAAGAGGTGATCCTCCCCATGATTTGTTTAGAGCTAGCGCTAAGAGGTGGTGTTCCCAGTGATTCAATTTGCGGTGAGCGTTAAGAGGTGATCCTCACAAGATTCAATTGCAGTGATCGCTATGGGGTTATCCTCCCAATGATTATTTTTGGACCTAGCGCTAAGAAGTGTGTTCCCCAGTGATTCAATTTGCGGTGAGCGTTAAGACGTGACCCTTACATGAATCAGTGTATAGTGAGCGCTATGGGGTGATCCTTCCCATGATTCAATTTGTACTGTGCGCTAAGAGGTGATCCTCCCCATGATTTGTTTAGAGCTAGCGCTAAGAGGTGGTGTTCCCAGTGATTCAATTTGCGGTGAGCGTTAAGAGGTGACCCTTACATGAATCAGTGTATAGTGAGCGCTATCGGGTGATCCTCCCCATGATTACTTTGGGAGCTAGCGCTAAGAAGTGTTATCCCCAGTGATTCAGTTTGCAGTGAGCGTTAAGAGTTGGTGTTCCTCATGATTCAATTTGTCCTGAGCGCTATGAGGTGATCCTCCCCATGATTCTGTTTGGAGTTAGCGCTTAGAAGTGATGTTTCCCAGTGATTCAAATTGTAGTGAGCGTTAAGAGGTGACCCCATGATTCGTTTTGGAGCTAGCACTAAGAGGTGGTGTGCACCACGATTCAATTTGTAGCTAGCTCTTAGTGTTGATCCCCCATTATTCAGTCAACAACGAGCATTAAGGGGTGAACGTAACAGCAATTCAATATCAATATGTATCAGTGGAAACAAAATATGAAATCTATTCATTCAGGTTTCCTGATTATACGATCCTGACCGAAACTGATTCGGCACTTTGTTGCTGAGCTTGCAAGACCCCGCTTCTCACTGAACGGTAGATGGCTGACATATCACTCTGAACAGAGTAATCAGAGTGAGTGAGTTTGGTTTTACGCCGCACTCAACAATATTCCAGCTATATGGCCGCGGTCTGTAAATAATCGAGTCTGGACCAGACAATCGAGTGATCAAAAGCATGAGCATCGATCTACGCATTTGGGATACGATAACATGTGTCAACCAAGTCAGCGATCTTGACCACCCGATCCGTTAGTCGCCTCTCATGACAAGCATGGCTACTGAAGATCAATTCTAAACCGGATCTTCACGGGTTGAGTCATCAGAACGGTGTATACCTTTTGTGTCTGGGCCAAATAAGGCGATAATTTGGGGTCTGCTCGATATATAGGGGAGACTGTTCATCTGCCACCACAGAAACCTTCCCAATATGAAATAAAACTCATTGAAGTAAATGCAGGTATATTGCCCAGGGCTACTGTTGTTAACAATGCCCGTGGGACGCTGTTACTGGCCCAGGTGCAATACTTGGTATAACCGCGTGTATTAAAGTCTATGTCATATCATTGTTGCAACTGTACCATATTTGTAAAACAATACGACACCTACTCAGATATTCAACAGCTATCACAGTATACATCGTTTTTCTTACCCTGTCCATAAGTCGGTATATACTGGTTGTTATGTTCACAGACACGTTAGTCAATTTTGTAATGTGTGTCATCTTAAACCAACGAGCAGCAGCTTAGTAAGATGATACAGGAATCGTGACCCGTCATGCACGTATTGAGGACTGTAAACGTATATATCGCTGCCGTATCACTCCCCATACGACTGGGAAGATGTAATGCTAAATATATACGCCGTCGAGTAAGGAAAATATGCTCTTTATGAATATTCAGTCTTTCTCTAGCTCACGTGATCTATTTCCCACCAAGATCATTCACTTCCTCGTTGGTAACACCCGCACCAGGAGAAATATCATTACTTCAGAAATGTGTTGCTTTTGGAGATGACTACAATATGTATTGGATGTTATGAAATATAAGGTTTGTTAATTAAATCTTTAAGAAATGTTTGGACCTGCATAGACTTCATTCATTCATTAAATTATGTATAAATACAGTTCAAATTAACAATATTACAAACATATTTCCAAACTGAATTATATGTTATTAAAATATACCAGAATATATTTAGACACGAAACTCAATATCGCACAAACGTGACAATCAACCCGTTACTAGAAAATTGAAGTTCAATAATGATATGTGGTTCCCCTTGAGTATTTTCACTGCGGCTACATTTTAATAAACACAAAGTATTGTTTAACCTTTGTACAGGGAAATATTTACTATCTACGACTGACTGAGTTTAGTTTTACGCCGCTTTTAGCAATATTCCAGCAATATCACGGCGGGGGACACCAGAAATGGCCTTAACACTTTGTGCCCATGTGGGGAATCGAACCCGTGTCTTTGACGTGAAAATGGCGGATGAAAAACTTAGAAACCATTAATATGAAAGAAGCTCGCACACACACCTTACATAATAGGTATCTCGTGTACTGCAATGGAGCACCATTATACATAACGAACACTAGTTATATCCAGGTATATTGCGGTAAAATTATATTTCATTGTGGAAATATTTCGTGTCTTTTGAATAAAGCATTGAACATAATTCGTCGTAAAGCCCGTCGATTCTAATGTTTGACTGGACGCCTGTGGGACAACCTCACGATATCATCTGTCAATTTTGGAATACGGCGAAAACTGGTGATGAAAAACTTAAAAACTGTTACTAAGAAAGGAGCTCACTCATTCCCCTACCAAAATGGCGAACGTTATCCATTATACTGCAATCTGGCCCCACTGTATCACGAACCATTGCAATATTCTAGTATACTGGAATAAAATGATGTTTCATAGTGGAAGTATTTCGTATCTTTTGATCAAGACATAGAGCATCACTCACCGAAAGAATTCAAGCTTTCAAGCCCGTCAATTCTAATGTCGTGTTGGACGCATGCTTAAATATGTGTGCAATAACACTAAATTTAAGATTCGCTGTTTATGTGATGAGAATAATGGAAGTTTGCTATTCTTTGTCTTTTCATTTAGGAATCCAACATGCGTTGGTTCTGGATTGGACTGTCCATTGCCTGTGTCTCTGTGACCCTCACTGGTAGGAAAGTTATTCCCAGAATGTGAAATATGTGAAAACATTTGATCTTATATGCTGTGTTGATTAACAAACATTTTCTATCTTCAAACACCATAACTGTTTTCACTGTGATAGATCAAGTTTGAAGCAGCAACAATCAGCCAATCTGAGGTATCTCTTTTCAAACAGATGCCGAGTGTCACTGTAACACCACTACTGCCTGTACCGTGTTCCCCTCTACTCCCTGTAGCCAGGTCGGTGATCCAGACAGATGTCAGGAAGGATGGTTCGGTTCCTACTGTCAGAAACGTGAGCATGATTTAGATTGGCAGATGTAGTGTCATGTCAACAAGTAACTGATATTTGTGCTACTGGTTATGTATCTATATTACAGAAAACATCGCTTTGAGGAGATCAAGCAGCCAGAGTAGCACTTTGAACAATGATCCAAATACCTTTGGAGCAGGACTTGGTGTAGACGGCAGAGCCACCACAGATGCCACGAGCTTGCCATGGACATGTGCTCATACAGCCAATCAGTCAAACCCCACCTGGACTGTGAACCTGACCACTTCAGTTCCGGAGAAGATACAACACATCAGACTCTATATCCGTGACAATTGTAAGAACATACACACATAATATTACTGCCCTACATAATAATGCTCCTCTAGACTATAACAAGTGCCGACTTATATGATGAGCTGATAGCACGGTGCTGTTCAGATGCTGTGATGTGCTTTGTACCATCTGTCCTTCATTAAACGAGATGGCCTGGTCCCCTAGTCACGTATCGGTGAAATAGATTCTCTAACTGAATGTTCTTACCTGCGATAGGTACTGTTATAGTCCAGGACAAAACTGTTTGAGTGGCATTCTAGAAGTTGGTGGTATACAGATGACAAAACTTCATGGATGGTCAACTTCTTTATTTTCACAATAGAGACGTTTTGGTATATTCTTGAAAATGGTATAAGAAGAAATACCGAAACGTCGCTATTGCGAAAGTAAAGAAGTTGATCATCCATGAAGTTTTGTCATCTCAGGACAAAACTATACGTTTGGGGCTAAACATGGGGGATAGTACCAACGTTATTTCCTTGATAGAGGCGATACTATCCTGCACTACAAGAAGGTATTTGGTTGAATTGCAAATGCCATCAGAAATGGAACATTGCCGGAATGATAACTGCATTGCATCATTGGCAACCTAAAATATATGTGAGATCGTGAGACGAACCCAAACTGCAGTTGATCGAATGACTTCCTTACTTTAATGTTGTGATATTAAATATAATTTGTCGAGGTTTGAGCAAACTGGGATAGCAGATGTTTAGGTGTAAATGTAGCTACAAGTAAATGGGTAAGGTAACATGAACAATGTACTTCTATTCAAATTATGTATTTAGTATGATTACACAATGCCATTTAGAAAGTGGTCGAATGTAACATTTGTTTTATTTGGGATTACACTTTCTTAGTAAAGTACAAATTCTAGTACTTGTTGAGTTGAGTCCCATCCGGGATTCGAACCCACACCCTCAGAGTCAGGCACCTAATCGCCAGCACACAAAGTCAGCCGCCAAACGCGCTCAGGTGGAAGTCGCGGTGGCTGAGCGATTAGGTGCCTGACTCTGAGGGTGTGTGTTCGAATCCCGGATGGGACTAAACTCAACAAGTACTAGAATTTGTATTTTTCTAAGAAAGAGTAATCCAAATATAACGTAGGTTATATATTTAATATACCAGAAATATAAAATGAAGTTAGAAATAGTTGCTCCCCATGTGAGAATACTAAGAAATTCAAGAAACAAAGGTAAAACCTCAAATAATTCACTGTGAGACCAACAAACAAATCATGTTACAAATTAACAACTGCATTATTTAATTATCTGGCAGTGTGTCTTTTAAGTAACTGTATCCTTCGAATCTCAACCAAGTGTCTTGTCGATTAATCAGAGCCGTTGATAACCAAGGGAATTTCGAACATGTATCACTTTTCATTCGTGTTGATGCTCCATTTATAAAACGACACCCGAAAGCGGTTCTCTACAGTTTATTTTTCTTCATTCTGTACACTTTTTACATATTACTATCGAGGTTTCTTTTACTGCATAGGGTTCGCTTTACCATGCTTCATATCCGATCTAGTTCGATAAAATGTGAGTAATAAGTTTTCATATTAAATCATCTATGTAACAGTTAACAGACAGAATACATTTAATACTCGTCACATTTAGCATCTATCTGTGTACAGTTCAGGAGAGAAACAACGGCATTGAAATACTTGTGGGCAGCCAGCTGTGCTACAACTGGTCATCAACTGAACATCCTCCTCCTATAGCTAACGTCACCTGCCGCCAGCCACTAACAGGAACCACGGTCACTATACGGATACCTGGTCAACAGAAATTCCTTGTACTATGTGAAGTGCAAATATTTGGTATGTGATTGCTGTGTGGTTTCACATTTTGGGCAACTTTGTCGTATAGTATGAACCATACACTTTCCATATCCAGCCTGGAACAAAATCATTTGATGTTAACAAAGTTCAGTGGAAACGGCATTTGTCTCCGAGCAGTGTTTCACCACACCTGCTGCACCTATGTGGAGTTATAGTCGATACAATTCCATTGCATAAGTTGGCACCCGTGAAGATCCGGATTAGAATTCATCTTCAGCAACCCATGCTTGTCGTAAGAGGAGACTAACGGGTTCCGGTGGACAGGCTCGCTGACCTGGTTGATACATGTCGTATCACAATTGAGTAAATCAGTGTTCATGATGTTGATCACAGGATTTTCTAATCCAGGCTGGATTATTTACCGATCACCACCATATATATATTGCTGAGAGCTGCGTGGAACAACAACAACAACATTAGTTGTTACTTTGGTATTTTTTTCCACACGATAAATGAACAGGCATCGAAAGAAGAAATAATGAACAGATAATACACTATATTGGAAAATGCCAACCAGGATCGTAGCATTTCAGCTTATACTCAGGGTTTATCTGATTGACGTTGGATTCCTTTAATCAATCCTTCTACCGCAATAACTTATGCCATGTAATAATAGCAGTTAGAAAACACCTAAACATATTCCTTCTGAGATACGAAATCGTTCCATATATGTGCATGATACATGCATAAATAGAAAATCTTATAGTTTAACTGTAACCCTATGTTAAACAAATCTCAGTTTGCAGTGACGGTTGGTTTTCTGGAGATTGTGACAAACAGTGCCGATGCCTTAACAGTACTGATGTATGTGACAAGATCACTGGTCGCTGTTCTAGTGGATGTTTCCCTGGATATACCGGTAGCGACTGCCAAACAGGTATGTCCTGAAATACAAATCACGTTAAAAGGGGACCATTGGCAGATGTCTCATGTACCCGCAGGTACATGCTAACTACACGTCAGTCAGTCAGTCTACCTCTTTTATCATCTGATAGTATGAAAGAGGCGGGCGGTTAATATCGATGCATTTTGAAATAATCAGACTAGTCCTATCGAATAGACCCTCACAGATAGTTTTGTACAGCTTTCCAGAAACGACACAGATATAAAGTATATACTTTTTTAGTTCAATTGAGCGGTATATCAAGTTATCATTCCTTGTGATTACTTTGATTTGTGAAAACCATGAATAAATATATTTTCAACTTTGGGCAACCTTGTCGATATTAACAGGTTTGTATTTTGATCGAAATTGGTGATTCTATGTTTTAATCAGTTACACGTCGATGTCGTATTCATAGTATTATCAAACGTCAGACAATATCACCCTATTTACCCATGTTAGAACCCCTACTTATCCGGGTTAGAATGAACCTTCAGTAACCCGTGTTTGCCGTAAGAGGCGACTAACGGGATCGGGTGGTTCGCTGGCTGAAGGGATGGTGTAAATCCAACTAAGGTCCATGCAGGTAGCAAAGGCTAGTATGGTGATCTAGCTTCAGTTGTTGGCAATCTATAGCCTGTTTTTATATTGTATCGTCCTGTATAGCTGAAGTATTTTAGATTTAATTACTAGTTTTAAATATATGTATCTGTGGTAGTCTAGTTGGTTTTACTGTCCTTTGTCGGCAGATATCTAAAAATGATTACCTTGTTTTCATCGCTCTATGGCTGTAATATTGCCGATGCGATGTAAAAGATTAACTCACTCACTCATTCCTGAAATGTCAGTTGACTGGAAATGTGTTTATTATGATTCCGTTGACGCATTTTCTGAATTTCACAGTTCTTAACATTATCCTGTGAAGGACCCCGGATTGGCTGTTTTCACATCAGTTAACCTTTTAATTGGAAACGTGTGCACTTGTTTTGCATGCACGAAACGCATGACTGAATCCAGCGACAACTGGTCGGATGTCTGCGATGTGAATCGGATTCGTGATGATAGACGAATGTTCTTTTATTTGTTTATGCATATGTCCTCGTGGAGTATGTTGGGTCGTGTAGTCAGTGTAGTCTACAGTGTTAACAGTAAATGTCTGTGTGTTTGTACAGCATGTCCAGGTAGTTCTTATGGTATCAACTGCGCCTCCCAGTGTGGAAACTGCCTTAATTCCATCAGCTGTGTTAAGACAAACGGAACATGTCCTGAAGGATGTGCATGAGGGTGGATGGGGGATGGCAAAATGTTATGTCTGCAGCCTGAGTAAACGATGATCAACAATGGCAAAACAAACGGTCCTGGAGAATGGGCATCGGAACAGAAAATGGTACAATATGTCTACCTGGTAACGTGTGTTCTAAGTAGAGGGGCATTTTACACAATACGATTTTGTCATGTTTCACGTTTATGTGTCTGCAGCATGTCCAGATGGTTCTTATGGTATCAACTGCTCCTCCCAGTGTGGAAATTGTCTGGATGATGTCAGCTGTGAAAAGAAGGACGGAACCTGCCCTGGCGGATGTGCAGCAGGATGGATGAATGACACCATGTGCCAACGGTGTGAGTCATAATCTTGATGTCAAACGAATGTCCATGAGTTTGTATGCATGTTTCCCGCCTCATTGAGGACATCTGTGTCCTAGAGGATGTGGAGCAGGTTGGATGAACGGGACATGAATGCAGAGTGGGCGCGTATGATTCTAAGTGAAAAGTAGAAAAACGTATGAAATACGATTATGTCATGCTTTCATTGTGTATATGTGCTTGCAGTATGTCCGGATGGTTGCTATGGTATCAACTGTGCCTCTCAGTGTGGAAACTGCATCAATGGCATTAGCTGTGACAAGACAAACGGTATCTGTTCTGGGGGATGTGCAGCAGGATGGCAAAGTGACACATCGTGTCTACAAGGTATGTCTGCGTGATTTTAAAAGAAGGTTAAGCTTGGAGAGTAATTATATGCAATGGTCTCATTATGTATGCTTGCAGCCTGTCCAGATGGTTCCTATGGTATCAATTGTACCTCTCGATGTGGAAACTGTCTAGATGGCGACATCTGTGACAAAACAAACGGAATATGTCGTAAAGGGTGTGCAGCAGGTTGGATGAATGACGGCACATGTCTACAACGTGAGTAAAAATTACCTACATTGCACAAACATGCCATGATCATTTCAAGGCCAAACTTGAAGCATTCATATCTGCTATTTTGTGGTTTCACATCGTCACCATGTCCAGATGGAATTTATCTTCAGGAATCATTTAGCCTTTTCACTAGTGAGTGAGTGAGTGAGTGAATGAGTTAATGCTTATAGTCACAGAGGTATTATTGAAGACATGTAATGATAAATACACAAAATGTGACAAAGTGAAGTGTTCTGCTCACATCATTTACTCTTGATGTAGATTGAACTGGCTCTCCCGGACTTGGCACACACTCTACGTAGGTAACAAAAGTCGTTATGGCAACTAATGTTAGTCTGACTGTGGTCATTGCAATACACTCTGGCATCTAGCATAGTTAGCATAGCAAGTCAATGACACTCATTAAACGAGCTGCAAACAGGGACAATATCACAACATGAACGTTATGATTATGTTATGTCATAATATTCTTGGAATTAAACGATGATATACTGGACACCTCATTTACAGATATCAAATGTCTAAAAGGACAAATGTACTTTCAACGATTTCATATCTTTTCTTGCAGGATGTGCCGTGGGAACGCATGGGATTAACTGTACTTCAGATTGTGGGTGTGAGGGTCAAACGTCCCGTGACACGTGCAGTGGTGAGATGATGCAATATAATCATACACAATGAAATGATTCTAATCACCATTCTATCCTTCCTTTGTGATGCATTAGTTTGGAATGATAGTTATTTGATCTTATTTTTCTGCGAATTATATTTACGTTATCAACGCAACCTGCAAGAGCCAACTTGTCTGATTTGATTAAATGAAAACAGAAATTTCAGATTAGTGCTTACTCATTTTAAATTAGCAATAGACTCACAATGTAACTTCAGATTTATAGCTTACGTACATGGAATTTATATGTGCATGGGTGATGTTTTCTAAATTAAGTTCACATTTGTTTGTTTTTCTGATCCCACAGAAGAGGGATCCACCTGGGGAATCCCAGTGGCAGCTGTCATTGGTGTGTTCCTGATCTGCACAGTCACTGGATCAACCATATACATCAGACGGTAGTACAAAGTTTACTACAATCCCTTATTTTCGTTGCTTAATTATGTACGCTTGGAATCGTTGACCTGCAAAATACTTTCATGTACTATTAGCCTGAGTCTGTAAGTTTTGTTTAGAGCAAGGATCCATTTTTCCTTTCACGTTAGGATTCTGTTATATTTACAAAATAGCAAAATAAATAATTTTTTACGTCAGATTACTGAAACAACTGGAGAGCTTGAAGACCAAGGTGAGAGAGGAACACTATGTGGCACTTGATGCGAAGACAAAGACAACAGCAACAGAAAGTACATACGAACATATCGACAATGCAACGCCTTACTACAATACAGTCAATCATCTTCAGGATGAAACTGGATGAGATGACAGGGGAACATTCCATACTACAGAAACAGATACTTTTGTACCAACGTGGTACTTAGTAAATAATAACCATCACAAAGGGAAGCAGTTTTGGGGACGTGTAGTGCTTTATAGAGAACAGCATGTAAATGGTACATAGATACTTTTATATACACTTTTATGTTTTTCTCATCGATCAAACAATTTAAATTTAATGGAGCACCAGTTGTTAGTTGTTACAGGGACCACAGGAACAAGTGGCGTACAGGCGACACCTCAATGGCCATAGTGAGTGTACAAAATGAAAATAGAATGATGACTTTGTGTACTTTTTTGTGGTTACAGGACCTGGCATAATAGATGATCAGATGCGTACATATAACAAATGAAGGGCAGAAGAACTCATACATGACTCATGATTTGATTGATATCAAGTTTTGCACAATCATGTGTGTTCGTTATAGCATCAAACCATGTTAGCATAGTTCTGGTAGAAACGTATGATACGACGTGCTTCACATGCGATAGTCATAAAAGATAAATATTGACTCCTGTACATTATTTGTGAATGACACCCATAATCATATTTTCTACTTTGTTTATTTTATCTTTATCCTCTGTTGACGCCGTACATCATTTTCTGTTTTTCATGCTCAGTTAATCGAACCTGACTCTTCTCATGAAACGTATCCTTGTGAAGATCAAGCATGCACATGCTGTCTTACTTTGCCACTATTGACGGATACGAGAACTTAAAGGACGTCAAGGCTTGGTCTTCTAGGGCCAGGATTGTCACAAAATGCCTTAGGCAGTAGGGTGTAAAGCGGTTAGCGTGGCCAGCATGCTCGGCAGACCTCAAGCCAATTGAGTATGCCTGGGATGAACTCAGCACCAGTGTATCTCCCAGGACTCCACAGAGCTCTTGTAGAAGAAAGGAATGCGACTTGATAAGGAGCATGAAAACAAGGAGCAGCTGTGTCTTGGACACGCGGGGAGGGTACACTTGTCTGTATGTCACGATGTGTCACGTTTCTCAGCACATTAAACTTTACGATGACACTCGTAGTTCTATCATTTCTGAGAAACGTTTGTTTACATATGCTATATATCATTTGACGCTTTATTAATGACGCTTAGTATATAATTCAAAATAGATGTTTACTAAGAGGGTCATTCTATTTCAGTGCTTCAATGAGATTTCGTTTAAACGGCCCATCTGCATATGCAATGTTGTACATTGTATATGTAAACATTGATTGGCTTTATAATGACACCTTATCCCAATCCAATAAATTTGGTATCACAATCTAAAACCCCGGTATCACGATCCACTGAACGTGGTATTTCAGCGGTTAAGCTTGGTATTATGAAGGTAGTATTACGATCGTTAAGAATGTTATTTTGCTCCAATTAATATGGTATCACAATCATATTAATTTGGAAACGGAATCGTTAAGCATGGTATCACACTACGATTAGCTTGGTACTACAATCGTTAAGAATGTTGTCACAAATCGATGAACGTGGTATCATAATCGTTAAGGGTGGTATTTTTCTCCAATGAAATTGTTACCACGATCTTTAAGCCCCGTCTTTTGATCCTATTAACTTGGTATGGCATACCGTTTGTCATGGTAATACTCTCCTATGAACTTGGTATCACAATCGTTGAGCATGGTATCACTACGAGAGTGTGTTGTTTTATTTTTGTAATTTGTATTATCATTGATTGAGTTATGTTTTGAATGTGGGTTGTGGGTCACATTTCGCATCATATATGTTCAATGGCAACACTATTTTTAGCGGTACGCCATTTTGATAGTGATCCAGAGTTGCCTCCCTTGGCTTATTTTGTTTTGACTCCCGGTCCACAGCCCCTCGCTGCGGGTCAGAAAATCGATAAACTAAGCCTTGGTTTACTATCCAGCCCCTGTACTATATAAAATGTAAAGGCTCATCACAGAAATACGGTGACATGATCGAAAACCGGACAATTACGCACACGTCAATGAATATATCGTATTTTCAAGGTCTCACAAGTATCAAAAGCTCTTGTCCATATCTCCAATGTGTGTGTGTGTATGTGTGGGGGGCATATACATGCGCTTTCAGTGGGGATGCATTTGATGCTTTTTATTAAATCTACAAAGACCGAGTTGCTGTGCCGGAAGTTTACAAAACTAAGTCATCAGCGCGTGACTTCACTACCTCCGGCGATCTAATTGGCTAACACATTACACTGAATGAATGAATTATTATGTCTTTCTTTCAAAAATGATTTTTATTCGTTTTTAAAAATATTCTTACCAAGATAAAACATCAGACCGTGACATCTTGGATGAAAGACGTTTGAGTTTCCCTCTCATTTTCGCACTTGCATTTGTTGTCATTTTATTAACCAATTTGATTGCTCTGACGAGCTAGTTTTGTATACTTCCGGCACAGCAACTCGGTCTTTGGTGATTTGTACCAACAAATGAGTTGTGTACATCTTTCTGCCGTCACCTGCCTACCGTCTGTCTGTCAACATCGTCAAGACGGATTGTCGCGTCAAGACCGATTGTCTACTGACATTGTAAACTACCTTCAATTTGTATACCTGCAGTCACTGTAAATGCCAAGGCTCGTGGTGAGTTAATATTTTATATGTGACCCATTACTTTAGATTTGTGACTCAAATGCATTGTACTAGATATCTGTATTGTCATTCTTTGTAGTTTGCTCATTGTTTGCTCAATATGTTATTGAATATTTAAGACTTGTCTGTGTTATATTTTGCTGGTTCAAAGGGGATTCGTATATCTTTTGTCACGGCCATTTATTAACCGTAACAGTACCAAGATGAAATGGACTTGGTATTGCGATCGTTAGGCTTGTTGTCACTCCCCAATGAAGTTGACATCACAATCGTTATGCATGGATTCACGATCTGATGAATTTGGTATCACAATCGTTAAGCTTGGTATTACCCTCTTACTAACTTGGCTAAGCATGGTATAACGAACGTGATATAAAGATGAAGATGGTATTACAATCATAAAGCATTGTAACAAGATACGGTGAACTTGGTGTCACGATTGTTAGGCTTGATATCACTATCCGATGAACTTGGTATCACGATCAGTAGGCGTGGTATCACTCTTGGAATAACTTGGCATTACAATCGTTAACTATAGTATCATAGTACATTACGCATGGTATATTGAAAGATGTATAGCAACGACCATATGTATCTCTACAAACATGACAAAACATGATCGGTGTATGCACTTAATACCGGAAGATCTATTAATTCTACATTTTTCACATTTTACTTCCGTCAATCACTCATCTTGATTTCCTCGTGCTACTGAACTCAGTAGTAACTGAGGCTGTAGGTTAGACCCGGAATAATGACCATTCCTGGTCAATAACTTTATTTATTACGGCTTTATTTATTATTCAAAGCCTCGTCACTATAGGGCTGCAATATTGCCGATGTGACATTATGATGTAACGTGACAACGACATTAGAATCTATGTCGAAACGTCGCCATTCACAGAATAAAAGAAGTTGTATATACATAAAACTTGTCATCATTCTTCATCAACTCAACTTCTAAAATGCCCATCAAAGAAATGGTGTGTTCTTGACGATTCGACGGAGGCCATTCAGTTACAAAACAATGAAACATCAAGTATTATGGTATGCAAAGTTAACCTCCGGTCAGTAAATTTATTTATTCTATGGATTTATGATCCATCAATTCACATTTTCAAGACAGTTCCCAGCTAAAACAATAAGCTGCACACGATTTGTTTTACGTCCTCACGGGTATTAATATGGGGAATCATGTTACAATCACTCAGTACATTTTAGACCATACACGTATTCATATCTATGTCGACTCCACCCTGTTGCAGGATAAATACACTTGCCAACATTAACTAAAGCTATAGCCTATCGCCACCATGCAAACAATACAAGAGTCTTAATGATCTTGATTAATAATAGTCCACATACCTTTTGTCCCTGACTGATAAAGACTAATAATAATTTTCGTAACTTACAATGAACAGTTAATTCCTTTGTTATCTATTACACTAATCATTGTATATGTTAATGTGTGTGTTAATTTGTGTGTGTGTGTGCATTAATAATGCATTGACGATGTACTTGTATCAGATTCATAATGTTACTATTCGCTGTTGCTTTGAAGAATAAAAAAAATGCCATTGTTATTTCGTTTATCCTTCAATAAGTTAGTGATATTAAATGCTCTAGTTTAATAAACGTACATCAAGTTCACGTCACCAGTGTCAATTCCATCTCAAAGATAACTGCAATGTCCACACTCGGATTCAGTTGTGCTTAAATTTCATTAAGTCAAGCTTCATTTCATAATGGAGCTATGTAAATGTAACAAAATGCAAAATGTTATAAACATATGAAACCAATATAAAATATTTACAGTTATATCAACCATCATCTTAATGAGTTTGATCCAAGTAATATGATCATATATGTCCCAATGAACCTTATCGTATAACAACCAGTCAATATCTCCCAGTACATGAAGGCCTCTGACACCTGATAGCAACAAGTATGAACAAAGCAGGCCAGACAACCCAAGCTTATACTTATACAGTCATGAGGTCCCTGTGATCTGCAAGGTGTCAAAATAGACGTCTAGCAATTGTAAAGAAATTCCATGTGTTACCATTCTGATAGACCATCGTGATGCATTCTATGCATTACACGTTCAGATGAATTGCCACCAATGCGGAGAACACCATTTCTATTTCGGACGATCACAAACGGGATGGAACAGAAGTCATACGATATCCGTGTACAAAGGAGGATGTACACACGAACCGTAGCAAAGGGACGATGTTGACGAGGATAAAGGTATCACATTATCATATTTACGCTTGGCACGTGTGCCACTTTACACTTCTTTCTGGGTTGCATAAAAACATCTCTTAATATTCAAACAAAACTGCTTCGTGTCATAATTATTAGACCGATGACAAAAGCATGTTTAATAGATATATGTGTTCATACAGCTCGTGTATGATTAACGTCTAGATGAGGTAAATATATAACAAAGACGTTTCCAGGAGCTGTAGTTAGAACAAAGTAAACCTATATTTGAAACGTTGTAAGATATTTAACATACCATTTAAACCAGTCAAAATGGAACACAGTTATTTTGTCCAGTATTACCGTGCATGTAAAAGTACAATATTATCAAAACACTAATTTCAAAGTGTTATTAAAAAGGTAATGTCGAACTTCATAATTTATATTGCCTATCATTATTACTGACAACAGGTGTAACGATGACATCTAGACAATATTTTTCGTAATCGTGACCCGTGATGATGTGTGTTAGAATTCGTCCTCTGCGTAAGAGGCGACTAACGAGATCAGTTGGTCAGGCTCGCTGACTTGGTTAACAACTGTCATCTTATCCCAATTGCGTAGATCGATGCTCATGATGTTGATCACTGGATTGTCTCGTCCAGACTCGATTATTTACAGACCGTCGCCATATAGCTGGAATATGGCTGAGTACGGCGTTAAACAACCAACAGATCGACCAACCATCTTGCAATCGTATTCAGAGCAAACATTGTTTGAAGAGATCATATATCATGATGTACACAATTCATCGATCACATGACCCATTCCTTGTCTCAATATTTCACTTCCTGGTAGCCGAGTAGTGTACAGTGTTAGTGTAGAGATACTGCACTACAGAACTGTGAGGTCTTCATGAGAGAGGTAAGTACGGACAAACTTCTGTTCTTTTTGTTGTGACCCCGTGTGTATATGTGAGTATCAAAAGGTATACTTTGAAGGTGAGCATACATTTATCACATGCCCTATTTAAACATGTAGTTACGCGGACAGCTATTGTAAACACAACACGATCGCCTTTCCATGACACTGAACCTTGTTCAAATATCTCAACACCGGCCTAAACTTATAATTCGTTCGGCAAACACGCATTCATTACTATGTACACTTCCCAGAAACATCATTGAATATGTTTCAACTGAAGGGACGAATACATGTGGTATACCTTAAGATTTCAATTATGTATTTTTCCAGCTTTTGCTATAAGGCCTTACAATCATTGTAATTTGAGTGAACAAAATTCAGTTCCGATTATCCGACTGTGCTTCGATGAATGTACACGAATTGTTAATTTCCCTCACTTGTTAAAGTGCAGTTAGGTTAGTTAGCCAATGTCAAAGAATCACGTTTCAGTCAGAAGCATGATGTTTTGTCTGACACGCATCTCAGTCCGCTTGACGGTATGTGGTTTAATTCCAGGAAACCTTGCAATGTTTAGTTAATGTTTGTTATAGATGAGTGCAGGTGCTTAGACGCGGGAAGTACAAAATATCGTTAAATCATAGAGAGGTTAACAACATTGTGTGTTTGGGGATGACAACTATTATACTACATTGTGACTGAACATAATGTATTTAAGTCGTTAAATACAAAGTGAAGGAATCATCTTCTATCGGCGGTTTGAAATTAAACACTTCCACATAACATCTTAAACTACAGACTGACAGGCAAAATTAAAAGTTTGTCTGTCATGCAGACATAACGATTCCAGTAAGATTCAATGTATCTTATCTATATATCTGTCTGTCTGTCTGACTGCCTGTCTGTTTTTCTGTCTGTCTGTCTATTTCTCTATCTATCTATGCAAAAACTTATAAAGCGCTGATATCCAGGAAATTGCTGCTCAAAAGCACTGTCTGCGAAAAAGAAGTTTACTGATCACGAGCTAAGATGAAAACGTGTGCCTTGAATCCAGTGAGAATGGACTGGGATTTGATATGGATTGGCAGTTTATTCCACAAGCATGGTCCGGTATATTCAAAGGCTCTTTCGCCAAAGGTTTTTGTGCGTGATTTTGGTACTTGTAGTTGAAGTCCCTCTTTGGATCTGTGTGATCGACGTGGCTGGTATATGTGAATACTAGACCAGACAGGTAAGGCGGAGCTGATCCGTCCAGGAACTTGAACACCAGTACCAGTATCAAATACTGAATAGACTGGTAACCTAATAGAGGTGTTGCAGTACAAGTGTTCTGGACCTTTTGTAGTTTCTTCAGTTGTTGATTTGTGATTCCAAAGAGAAAACAATTACAATGGTCGAGGCAAGCTTTGGTCAGTGATGCAGCTGTGAACTGGAACACATACGCAGTCGTTCAGAGTTATCATTACCGAGCTGTACAAGTTCGGGAATAAATTATTCATGCCAGTTTGACTTCCTAGGACATACATTCCATAGATAATACATATCAAAGTGGCAAACTGTTGCACCAAAACGCAACATTGCAACACTGACTCATTGCGGTCGCACGACACAGATATCTATAACAAATCTCTGTGTGTGTGTGTGTAAAAGTCAGGGGGATGTCAAACGCTTTGCATAAACTATCCTACAACCACCCATTTGGAGTCAATAACGACACATCAACCTCTGCACTGTTGATCAGAACATCAGTTAGCTGTACCTGAGCGGTAATCTATTTGCTTTCAGCGTTAAGAGGTGATCCTTCCATGATTCAATAATTATTTGTAGAGAGCCTTGAGAGGTGATTCTACCCATGATTCATTTTGTAGTGAGCCTTAAGAAGTGACTCCCTCTGATTCAATTTGTTCATGGAAATATTTACTATTTACGAAAGTTGGTTCTTTTTTACATTCTTTCACAATGATTCGTCTGTGGGACAACTTCCATATTCTCTTCCAATTTCGTGACAATGGCTTATGAAAACTTTAGAAACCATTGATATGAAATAAGCTCGCACACACACTTTACTTAACAGGTATCACGTGTACTACAGTGAAGCACCATTCTACATAACGAGCCAATCTCTGCATTCAAGTTTATTGCGGTGAAATTATATTTAATTGTGGAAATATTTCGTGTCTTTAGAATAAAGCACAGAGCATCATCCGCCGAAAAGCCCCTCGATTCTAATGTTTGACTGGACGCCTGTCGGGCAACCTCACCTAATTCACTGTCAATTTCGGAATATGGATAAAACTGGTGATGAATAACTTAAAAACTGTTCCTAAGAAAGGAGCTCACTCATTCTCCTACAAAAACGGTGAGCGTTATCCATTATACTGTATTATCCAATAATCTAGTATACTGGAATAAAGTGATGTTTCATAGTGGAAGTATTTCGTATCTTTTGATTAAGACATAGAGCATCACTCACCGAAAGAATTCAAACTTTCAAGCTCATCAATTTTGATAAGTTGGACTCATGCTTAAATGTGCATTCTGTAAGATACAGTCCTTTAAGACTGCTGTTTATGTGATGAGAACAATGTAAGTTTGCTATTCTTTATCTTTTCATTTAGGAATCCAACATGGGATGGTTCTGGATTGCACTGTCCATTGCCTGTGTCTCTGTGACCCTCACTGGTAGGAAAGTTATTCCCAGAATGTGAAATATGTGGAAAAAATTGATGTTATATGTTGTGTTGATAAACAAACATTTCCTATCTTCAAACACCATAACTGTTTTCACTGTGATAGATCAAGTTTGAAGCAGCAACTATCAGCCAATCGGAGGTATCTATTTTCAAACAGACGCCGAGTGTCACTGTAACACCACTACTGCCTGTACCGTGTTCCCCTCTACTCCCTGTAGCCAGGTCGGTGATCCAGACAGATGTCAGGAAGGATGGTTCGGTTCCTACTGTCAGAAACGTGAGCATGATTTAGATTGGCAGATGTAGTGTCATGTCAACAAGTAACTGATATTTGTGCTACTGGTTATGTATCTATATTACAGAAAACATCGCTTTGAGGAGATCAAGCAGCCAGAGTAGCACTATGAACAATGATCCAAATACCTTTCGAGCAGGACTTGGTGTAGACGGCAGAGCCACCACAGATGCCACGAGCTTGCCATGGACATGTGCTCATACAGCCAATCAGACAAACCCCACCTGGACTGTGAACCTGACCACTTCAGTTCCAGAGAAGATACAACACATCAGACTCTATATCCGTGACAATTGTAAGTACATACACACATAATATGAATAATACTGCCCTACATAATAATGCTTCGCTAAACGATAAAAAGTGCCGACTTATGATGAGCTAATGTCACGGTGCTGTTCAGATTATCTAATTATACATGTCCTTTGTACCATCTATTCTTCATTAAACGAGATGACCTGGTCACCTAATCACTTATCGGTGAAATATATGCTCAAACCGAATGTTCTTACCTGTGATAGGTACTATTATAGTCCAGGACAAAACTGTTTGAGTGGCATTCTAGAGGTTGGCGGTATAGATATGACAAAACTTTATGGGTGATCAACTTCTTTATTTTCACAATAGAGACGTTTTGGTATATGCTTGAAAACGGTATAAGACGCTTTACCGAAACGTCGCTATTGTGATAATAAAGAAGTTGATCATCCATACAGTTCAGTCATCTCAGGACAAATCTATACGTTTTGGACTAAACATGGGTGATAGGACCAACGTTATTTCCTTGATAGGGGCGAAATTATCCAGCACTACAGGAAGCTATTTGGTTACAATTGCAATTGTGTTGCCATCAGAAATGGAACATACCTGTATTGCATCATTGAAAACCTAAAATATATGAGAGATTGTGAGACGAACCCAAAGTGCAGTTGGTCGAATGTCTTGATAACTAAGATGTTGGTGTAAATGTAGCTACAATTAAATGGGTAAGATAACACGAGTAATGTACTTTAATTCAAATTATGTATTTAAATAGAATTTTGAAATAGTTGCTTCCTATGTTAAAGTAAGAACAAGATCAAGGAGCAATGGTGACGTTTAACACTTTCATTCACACTAAAACTGGTCAGCATATCTTGTAATACAGACATTTAAACGCGATGTCTTTTATGTTGGGTGTTAAATGTAATATTTATAAATCTAGTACATTTTTTACTCGTGTATAAAACAGGCATAGCATTTTCTTATTGAAGTGTATTGGTAATTGTTTGGCTTTTACTACTTTTGATTGTAATCATAAACACGTGCTCAGGATATAGTCGGAATTGTACATTCGAGATTTCCTATGAGTGTGGAAAGGGTACAGTTTTGTAGCTTTTATTCCTTCAGCTTGGTGGTTGGACTTTCTGTGCTTAGGTAGTGTTTTTTATCAAACAAGTTTAGACAAGAGGCTTGTAAAAAGTGACCCATTATGACACATACATTAAAATTTTCTTTTGACGCCACTTTCTGTTATAAGTACTTACATACTTTTCGCTAGTAAGTTCCGAATTGTTCATGATTTCTTGCTGCACGTCCAATAGTTAAGTTGAAGTTGACATTTCATTATGGAAGTGTAATTCATGAAAAGTCAATGTCGTAAGTGTATAACATTGTTTCTATCAAGAGTCGATGACATGGTATTTAAGAAACAATAGTGAATGTCAGAAATGTATTACTGTCTGATGTCAGCAGATGTGCGGAAGTTACAGAATAATCTGGGATGCTCTAGAACAGCCTAGGTTAATTCATTATTGCAGAGAAATTTCTGACTGGAAAGACTATTTAAGTGGGCAATCGCATGCCTTTACACTACATCAAAACGGATGTGAACATCATAGGTTCATTGATATGTCGTGTGGGCCTTTTTTGGAAGCATGACCGTTGTTGATGTTAGTTAAACAGTACCATCACTTACATGTTGCTATTTCCACTGTTATTATGGAATACCTCCACTGAAAGTTTACTACTTTCGAATTTCGTACTACCATGCATTTCTATTCTATTTAGGAATGTTTTCAATTGACCCAGTAAGTTAAAACTCTACTCGGAATAATTATCTGTGAGACCAACAAACACAGAAATGTTACAAATAACAACTGTAATCTGAAACTATCTGTGTATCCTTTAAAGGACGGTTTCCTTCGATTCTCAACCGAGCATCTTGTCATACATGACAGCCAGTCGATTATTCACAGCCATTGACAACCAACCAAATTTCAAATATGTATCACTCATGGCGATAGATATAGTTTTAAACGTGTATTCGGGTTGATGCGATATATCGTTACCCAAATGTGATCATCGATATATTATTATTTCATCATTCTGTACACATTTATTATTAGTAGTGTTAAGGCTTTAGCTGCATAGGGTTCGCTTTACCATGGTTCATATTCGAGGTAGTGCAGAATGTGCGTAAATAATCTTTCATATCAAGTCAGATATATCCATGTAACATAATTTTAACAGATACAACAAAATTAATACTCGTCATATTTTGCATTCATTGTGTGAACAGTTCAAGAGAGAAGTAACGGCATGGAGATATTTGTGGGCAGCCAGATGTGCTACAACTGGTCATCAACTGAACATCCTCCTCCTATAGCTAACGTCACCTGCCGTCAGCCACTGACAGGCACCAACGTCACTATACGGATACCTGGTCAACAGAAATTCCTTACACTGTGTGAAGTGCAGATATTTGGTAGGATATGAAATTAGCTGGTGTTGATATTTGGATACATTTTATCACCTGATAGGTATGCAGAGCTTTCACAATTCATCCCCAAGAATTGAATTTGAAAATTACGGCACATATTTTATTATTTTACACATTCAACCACAAGCAAAGTTTTTACAAACAATTGTATTTTTCTATATTACGAAATAATTATGACTATTGTTTAATGATGTTCAGTTTGCAGTGACGGTTGGTTTTCTGAAGATTGTGACAAACAGTGCCGATGCCTTAACAGTACTGATGTATGTGACAAGATCACTGGTCACTGTTCTAGTGGATGTTTTCCAGGATATAATGGTACCGACTGCCAAACAGGTATGGCATGAAACTTACATTCGATAAAGACCGCACACATAACGTGCCAGGTAAATATGTTTGATCCCTGTGTATGTTTATCAGTGAATCGGCGCCATGTATATTATGAATGATTTCTTTATCAAATTTGACTTGAAACCACTCTTTTGTGATTAGGTTATGCTTCCGTGTTTTGCAGTGTTTGATTTACTTGGTTTGTCATATATTTATACTTATAATATAATTTGCCTTATATAGGTAAAGATATTTATTTTTTTCGACGAATATATACTGTGTTAAAAACTGAAAGAAACAAGTATGGTAGATATCAGCAGAACACTAGGCTTCAGAGATAACACCTGATCGCATGAGTGCTAAAATGTTTGGCTGTGTCAATAATTCTCAGGCGAGTCCACACTGACACTAGAGTTTCTTGACAGTGGAGAGGTGTCAACAAACCCAACACTGATCTAATGACCACCACCGTTAGGGACCGTGCTGGTTTAGTCAGGAGATATTACAATGGCAGACCTAACAGCAGTATACAAATGCTGCAAATGAGTAAAATAATGTAGAACTCGGCGTTAATCCCCATTTCACCCAATGGCTTGTCAACTGGGGACACCTTATTAGGAACGCAAGATTTAGAGTACAAACCTTTTGTGTATGATCAGATGGAATGAATATAATAAACGAAATCTGATTTTTCATTTACTCTTGCATGTGGGAATACGTCAATCTTACATTCAGAATATAAGGTTTTCCGATATCAAAATTCGAAACTGAATTAAAGGAGAACACGAGGGAATTGCAATAATTTGCTGGGTGAATGATAAAGTCATCAGAAACATATACCCAAATTTTCAATTAAAAATATGCATATTTATGTTTTAATCGCGAAAACAGTTTCTGTTATCTGAGCTTCGGCCATTATGCATATTCCGCTGGAACTCATGTGACCTTTCCGCTCGTGACGTCAAATGTGCCTACAGTCCGCCATATTGCCAAAGACCAAGCGCTACAGTAATACAAATCGTGTTGTTTCTGTCGTTTTTGTAAATGGTACGATGGTGTATTCCGTTGCCTGGTGATGCGTCATCGAACAATGAAAAGAGACACCATTTCATCCGTTTTCCAAGTAAAAAGACAGATTTAGGTAAGAAAAATGTTCCGATCATATCATTCCGAGTCAGCCGCACTTACTTTCAAGACCAGTTGGCATCGGGATGCACTCACAGTCACAACTAAGAACATATTAAGATTCTTGGGAGGCATTTAGAAGTTGGTGAATATATAAGACGAGTATAAATAATGTTCCCAAAAGTGAGTGAGTGAGTTTAGTTGCACGCCGCTTTTAGCAATATTCCAGCAATATCACCATAAATCACCATAAATGGGCTTCACACTTTGTACCCATATGAAAAGCACCTGCACTCTGTCAAATGATGATATTCTGCAATAAACCATACAACAACAACAACAATAAATATACTCGTCTTATAAGAATATATTAAAGTACAATGCAATCGGCAATACACACCTTTATCCATCGAGAAGAAAACGTGCTTATTGCTTTGAATGTTATTATAAACAAATATCCCATAAGCCGAGTATTTTACAAGACGATTTGGTACAACAAAACGAATTCCGATGAACGTAAGAATAAAGTTATTCCTAATTGCATGGATTGTAAGATGTGGAAAATTGCCGACAGCGTAAAAAGTTAGGATAAACAAAACCGTGAAAGGTATGCGGATCTCCGAACAATAATATTAGTATCAATTACCAAAGTCTATCTGTTCTCAATACAAAACATATCCAAGCCATAACTTCTGTCACAATTTTCATGAAACATGTCTTTTTTCCTTATCATGATGATGTACGGTGTCCGCCCGGAAAAGCCACATTTGAAAAATACCCATTGCCGCTTAGCCACATTTCAAGTACAAACCTCGTTGCCGCGAAAGCCAAAATGAGTAACGGAATCATTACCGGTTTTTTCAAATAAGTGTCACCCATTGTATACAATGGCTTAACATTGTTTTAGTGACTTGTCCTTTGTTTGTTTAGTTGACTTCTATATTCTCGTTGAATTTTTTTAGTTAACATTAATCTTTTCATGTTTATTTTGTTCTTTAATCTTGCATTCTCTGCTTATATTGTAGATTGTATTATCTTAATTCATATGTATAGATGTACATATGTTCTTCCTGTCACGTGTTACTCCTATGTCGTCACAACCAATTGTACTTTGGGCCACATGGCCAAAACACCGAATAAATTAACTGAAGTGAATTGAATCAAGTGGTGCCTCCGTTTCGATGGATTCTTCTTCTTCATCTTCACTGGAAGTTTCTCTTGCATGATGTAAAATCGGCTGGTATTAGTACGGTCTAACATCCAGGTAAAAAAAGACATCGGGAACATATTTTATTGCTTCAGAATCCATGGCCACTGTCAAGTTGTCAAATATAACCATAGAGGAAGCCACCGGCAATAGGCACATTTGACGTCAAGTCACGTGATACCCGCCTCTGCTCATTAACTGTAGGGTGTTTACGTAATAGGCGGAAATTCGAGGGCGTTTATCACGTTTTTATTGCGATTTTACAAACTTTTTGTGAAATCTTAATAACGGAAAGTGACTTTTAGGATGGTTTTTTTTCCATATATCAAAAAATAATGTTACGTTAGTATTCTCCTTTAACATAATTCTTGACGAAATTGTAAACTTTGTATTCCAAATGAAGCCAACGTTAAAATGTTAGAAAAGCAATTTGTTTGATGTTCAGATTCTCTTAGTGCACAGATATAAACTATTCAAAAAAGAAACGCATCACCAAGATATCTGTTGCGAAAATGTTGTATTTTCAAACATGTATAACTCTTCCACAAATAGATTTTAGTACATGAATTTTTAAATCATTTTAGAGGATGGAAAGGTCCATACAACCAAGTGGATAATTTTAGATAACGGAGACGCTGAGCGCGATGGCGACGACGTGGCACGGTCCCGACGTCGGGTCTCCTGGCTTTCAGTCCAGTCTCTCTCAACCTGTTCCGTACAGTTTGACTGGATGTCCTCCGAAGCCCAGGTACCCTGGCTGCTGTGCTCTCACCCGTGGCAGTACGATCACGCAAATGTAGTACCCGGATGTACCGATCTAGGGCTGCGGTGGTGACGAGAGCGCTGTGTGTACGGGGACGGTCATTTGCTATACTTGTTTGGTTGTAACGAACTGCAAGCCGTGATGTCGTGCTCAGACTAATATTAAGACGCCTGGCAACAGAAGATTGGTTATCTCCAGCGTGCATTCTTGCAATGGCGATTTTCCGTGTCGCAGCGTAGTGATTTGACCTTGAAACTCCTTCAAAATGAATGCCGATTTCCGAAAGTAATCTGGATTTTTAAAGCCAGACAGTGCATGCCTTTTGCTGTACAATTTCAACTGGAAGGTGATTTCTGTTGCGTTGTGGTGATGCCTTTTTAATCCTTGTAAGAAATCTCATGAAAATCAGCATTTTCAGAAAGTCGATTGTTTACTTGTGCAATTGTGTAACATCATGTTATCAACACTTTTGTTACATATCTTGACGATTGTTTGAACACAATAGGTAATTAATAGATTTTTAAATACACAAACTGCCTATGCGTTTCTTCGTTTGGATAGTATAGTTGCATTCCCGCCTATACACTCTAACTTTGATATTTGTATAAATACTATCGCGACGAGTAGTCAATTGGACATGTCCCTCAATTCATTACACGTAATTACCTTTCAGTAATAAATGTGTTGATTATAAGTGAGATACCTTTGTAGTTCGTGTTTGTACTATCAAGATGAGTAGACAATCGGAAACTGTTGTTTACTTCGCAAAGGACTTGAGGTTGATCGTCTTGTGATTACGTGTAAACTAGTCAGTTCTATATATCTGATCACGTAGCTATATACTAAATTGTGCGTATTTGTGCAGTATGTCTAGATGGTACATACGGTAAGAACTGCTCCTTCAAGTGTGGAAACTGTCTGGATGATGTCAGCTGTGACAAGACAAACGGAACATGTCCTGACGGATGTGCAGCAGGATGGATAAATGACACCATGTGCCAACGCCGTGAGTCACAATCTTGATATAGAAGGAATGTCCCTACGTTTGTAAACTAGTGCTCAAAAGAAACTATACACCGCAAGATATTACATACAAATTCACAAAAGTATAATTGAAGTGATAAAACCATACTGAGCCATGTAACACACGTACAGATCCATGCTTTCCGGGAACAAACGGCGAAACGTCGCAAAAAACTCCAAAACGGTTTTTCTGATGTAACACGAAATGCACGTGCATACAGACGGTATAAAACAGCCTACGCGACACTTGAGCTACACAGTAGGACAAAAACAACACAAAACATAAGCCACGTTTGTGGCAAATCGAAAGAAAGAGAGCTGTCGGAATGGGCCAAGAAGGAGTTGTCATTGCAAGAACCTTTAGCTGCACCCGCGAAACTGTCATCAGATTGATGCAACGACTAAGACAAACAGGCAATAAGTCAGACAGGCCTAGGACTGATCGGCCACGTGTGACAACGCAATTGAGCAATTCATCTGCTAAACATTTGTAACGCGGACGTCAACGGCAGCGACGGCACTAAGACACCGTATCAGTCGACATACAGTGTGCCAGCGACAAAGATATACGAGCACCTCAACCCTACCGCGGAGTACATTTGATTATTCAAAACCGACGTCGTCGATTGACATGGGCCAGGCAAGTTCGACGTTGGCAGATGCGCGACTGGCGACGAGAATAGGTTTTGCCTGTACAGTAATGACGGCCGGGCTCGTGTTTACAGACGAGTAGGTGAACGTTTAGCGCCGTATTGTGTTCAGCAAGTCCGACTGCTTGGATCCGGGTGCTTGATGGTGTTGGGAGGGATCATGCGGAGATCTTAAAGCGAGACCTGTGATAATTCATGGCAACCTGAATGCTCGAAGATACAGGGATAAAGCTTTGCGACACGATACAGCAAGACTGACAAATGACATCGATGTTTTGCCGTGGCCAACATGTTCTCTCGACATGAATCAGATAGAACAGTTATAGGACTACCTGGCTCGATATACCAGAAGGTCACCAGCGCCACCTGTCACCGCTCAAAAACTGGAACAATGTCTCCTACAGGAATCTCAACGGATCACGCCTAGCGTCATCAATGCGTCGACGTGTTTTGGCGTCTATTGAAGCCAATACTGGTCACACTCACCATTGATTCAACAGTTGATGACATTTTGCAGAATAAATGCCTTGATGATTTGTGTAAAAGTTCAGACTATGATACCACGTGACTTTCAGTGTCAGTCAAACGGTACTTTCGACTTTGTATGAAATGAATTTGTGTACATTTGCTGTAGAATTGAATACTCTATTGAAATTAATCAGGTGTTCATCTATATATGCATTTCGTTTCTTTTCAAGTTTGGTTAAACACACTATATACTCTCTTTTGAGCACCAGTTTATCTATGTTTCTTTTGGAAAGTATTGTGTCCTGTGGAGTCGCCAGCTAGACAGGGTTAAGGTTTAATGTCTTTGTTTTGGCAGAATGTCAAAATTAATCCCATGCTATCAAACGTTCCTCTCTGTATGGCATCTTACACAATGGTGTTATCTGTCTACAACGTGAGTGACGTCCATTTTAGTAGGGTGTAAAGATACATGTATATAGGGCTGGTTAAGGGAGATGTTATCTTGTACACTACGATTACATCATGGTTTCATTTTGGTTATGTGTTCGTAGCATGTGCAAATGGTTCCTATGGTATCAACTGTGCCTCTCAGTGTGGAAACTGCCTAAACGATGACATCTGTGACAAAACAAACGGTACCTGTCCTGGGGGATGTGCAGCAGGGTGGCACACTGAAACATGTCTGCAAGGTGGGTCTGTACGATTTTAAAAGTATGCTATCCTTACAGTGTACTATTACACCATATCCTGATTATGTTTGTGTGTTTGCGTAGTATGCCTAAATGGTATCAACTGTGCCTCCCAGTGTGGAAATTGTCTGGACGGTGTCATCTGTGAAAGGATCAACGGAACATGTCATGGCGGATGTGCAGCAGGATGGATAAATGATACCATGTGTCAAACCGGTGAGTCAAAATCTTGATGTCGAACAAATTTGTATACATGTTTCTTGTGAACAATATTAGGCCCCCTGGCCACGCCAGTTTGACAGGGTTCAAGTTTATTGTCTTTAGGTTGGCAGAATGTCGCATTGTGTCTTTGATATCAACGGGAAATCTCAGTGTGAAAACTGCCGAAACAATGAAAATCTAAATGGCATAATGGACGGGGTTCCATGTTAAAGGTGATTCTTTTTTTTCCAGAATGTCCAGATGATTTATATGGTAACAACTGCTCCTCCCAGTGTGGACACTGCCTATACGGTGAAATCTGCGATAAAGGGAACGGAACTTGTACAAACGGATGTGCAGCAGGATGGATGAATGACGACACAAAGTTATGTAAACAACGTGAGTGCTGATGCCGGTTTATTGATGATAGGTACAGACAGAAGACCACGTTTGTCTGCATGTTGGTAGCTATTTAGCGAATACTTAATTTGTTTTATGGAGCAAGTTCATAGCAACAAATTTTACTCCCAATGTGGAAACGGTGAAATGACAAACATGTCCTTCGGGATTTTCAGCAATATGACGCCACATTTCTATAACGTGAGTCGCAATCACATGAAATGAATGTCAGATGTTGCAACAGGATGATGTACAAATATGTATGGTTATATGTATGTAAGTAACATATTCCCCAAAGACGGTGAATAATTTAAAAAAGACGGAGAATAATAATAAAAAATGTGTTTATGCAGCATGTACAGATGGATCCTATGGTATTAACTGCGTCTCCGAGTGTGGGGTCACTGCCTGGATCGGAACCAAACCCTGATATTCGGTGCGACGAGCGAACGATTGGACAATCTAGCCACATACCGTTCCATGTCTGATAGCATTTTAAAGCTGGTTTGAGAGTAGTTGTAGGTATATGGTTTCATTTGTTGGGTGCGTGGTCATCGTTCAGACAGAGAAGGTCAACGTTTTTTTATAATTGCGTAACGATTTGAAACTAAAGTTGAAACGGTCATTCCGGAAATTCACGCAAACCAAACTGATAAGTAAATCAGTAAATATCCAAACGAGAATAATAAGTAATCAGCAAATTATATTGCAAAATACATCGTTAGGTTACTCGAGTATACAAGCTGCTGTGGGGGCATCACCACCAAGCACCTGACATTTTGAGAGTGTTCACAATGATTAGCAATAAACTATAACCGCGATCTGGAACATACCATTTGCAGCGTGCCCAAATGGACACCACGGTAGCAACTGTTCCTCCCAGTGCGGAAACTGCCTAAATGGTGTCAGTTGTGACAGAATGAACGGAAGCTGCTCTGGAGGATGTGCAGCAGGATGGATGAATGAGGAATCAATGTTATGTATTCAGCGTAAGTAATGATGCTACTCTATGACTGAGCGAATAATAATGTTTATGTGCCTTTTTCTGGCTCCAGTATTGTTTTAATTTTTTACGATTGTTTAGTTTGTTTATTGTCCAAGGTTAACCATTTATTCTTTTATTGAATGCGTAACTATAATTAATCCAAGTATTTATTAACCATTATCAAGTCGTCACCAGTTCACGATAACCAAGAGATTAGCATTTTATCAGATAGCAAAACTGTTCTGCGATATATAAAACTTCGAGGCAAGAGAATAAGTAGTTTCGAATATCTAATTGACGTAAAAGTCCAACTTAATGCGGAAAATGTAAGTCTCAGAATCCAGTTTTAGAACCAAATGGTTTAGCAGTGAATATCAAACATGCATATTTTGGAATCTAATCGTATTCCTAATATATCTCCTGCACGTTTGATATTATGTGATGTCATTAACAATCATTAGAAATAGCCTTTTAATAGAGACTACCACACAACATTTGCAGCATGTCCAAATGGATACCATGGTGACAACTGCGTCGCTCAGTGTGGAATTTGTCTACATGGTGTCACCTGTGATAAGACAGATGGAACATGTCCTGGAGGATGTGCAGCTGGATGGGTTAATGATGACACAATGCTATGTTTGCAACGTGCGTAATGATGCTGAGCGTTACAAATTGAGTGAAATGTGTTCAGAGCGTATAGTTTTTTGATTTTGTAACATTTTGTAACATTTCTATCTAAAGATAAATTTAAGGTTTAATCAAATAGTATTTTTCAATTGCGAGGGTCAAACAGGGACACTTGTCATCCTAAAGTCATAAAGCTACAACACACTAGGCACGAGGAAATGCTGCATCCATTATGAAACGACACTCCAGGAACATAACCTTTGCTATCCAGTGGTCCTAAAAAACAAACTGAATGGTCAAAACATAAATGCCATGTGGATTTGCTTAATGTGTAGCAACTGATATAGGCGACTCTTATTGTGCCATTGAGCAAGTGTAGCCGACGGATAAAATCGTATTTGAAACATTAAGCTTAATACTGTGAAAACAAACTTTGTAACTGCTTTGTAAGGCAAATGTACAAAGAAGACAGTAGATAGTATATCAACACTGGAAATGACATCGGGTATAGTTCATAGCTGATGTCAATCAATCAGCATTTGGTTTTGTTGAGGCATTGTTAGGTATTTAGGCATTCTGTGTAAGGAGTTGTGGTTTTGATTTTTCCCCTCCCACCCCTTTCCAAATGTATTTTATACATTTATACATTTAGCTTAAAATGTGTATACGACCACTTGCAACAACTGAATTGACATATGATGTAAACTAGTAACCCAAGATGTCCAAACGTCATTGTTAGCTACTGAGAACATGTTTCCGCATTTATGTTTCTTACTCAGTCATATACATACTTGATGATCTTATATTTATGCAGGCATAGTTTGCATATTGACAATTCATAAGCAGTACGAATATTTTTTTATATAAAAGCAAAAAAAGCAACGTATAAAATACAAAGTGACATTCCGTCTCTTGTCTTTACTTTTAGAAACTGACACCTTATGCCTGATGCAACTGTAATTTCGCCTTCTTGCAGTATTTTAGTTTGAAGTCTAATACTTTAAGGACTATTTGTAGAACATTTGTTATGAACTTACAGTGTTACAATATCATTGTTAACGATTACTCTTTGTTTCTGAAAGGTCTTGCTGGTGAAGGGTCCACAGGAGGAATCATTGGAGGCGTCATTGCAGCTGTCGTAGTGGTAGCAGTTGTCGTGGCCATTCTCATTTTCCGGAAAAGGTAACTGCTCAACAGCGTTCATGAAGTCTACTGACCCTCGTGGATTCCTTGAAATACGGCTTCTGTCCAGTAGTCGTTCTTTGTGCATGCAGTTCGTTTGATCTACGAACAATGGATTCACTGAAATAAGATTTATGTGGGGTATTCCTTCATTTTGTATACAGTTCTTGTGTTCTCGGAACAGTGTGGCGATTCTTATTACCACGTGACCAGTCGGCAATGCATGTGTGCTAGGGTTAATGAAAATCATTTTGTGCAGGCGAAAACGGAAAGACGATAACGTGAGAGATCCCGTTCAACTGGAGGACATTCCCAAGACAGCAAATAAAGGTAAAGCAAGCTAACCACTTTTGGTTTTCTATTATGTTTATTTGTTGTTGTTATTCGAGTTAACGTTTGAATTATAACATGTGACAAGAAATGTTTTTCTAGATGAGGTCAATCATCGTTAGCTTGGAAATCATGCTGCTTCTTTGCATTCATTGCATTCATTGATAACAAATGTTGTTGTTGTTTTTTTCAGAAAATCACACACACCTGTCAGATAAACCATCCTCCAGTAAATCTGCCCTGAAGCCAAAACCTGCAGTGGAGGAAGATGAGGATGCCGTGTTTTCTGTTGAGACTGAAGTCGACGGAGGCAGCCAGGCTGCCGCCACCTACTACAACTGGGTGCCACCTCACATGCGGCTGGATAACTTGAAACAGTGTATAAGTGAGAAGAAGAAAAAAGCCTCATTTGAAAGTGAATTTCAGGTTTGTATATCGATTGTTTTGTTTTGACATGCAAATATGGATGACTTGTTTAGAATAAGTGAAAACTGTTTCGCGTGACACTTCCTTTAGAATCCAGGATTTAAATGTGATTCTTAAGAATTCGTCAGCAATTTTCTTATCTTTATAGTTTGAACTTCCCAGACATAAATGGACAAACGGTATAAATATATTAGTTTTTGAACAACATGGCTTCGGACCAGTACAGCTGAGAGACATTTACCAACAGTGTCTTCAAATGGTTCTTCCGATCGCCTGGTCCATTTGATTGTCACTGTCTACTTATTGTATGCTCTATATACAAATGGAGGAAACACAAGAATGGGTGGTTGTATTTATCAAAGAACGCAAACATGACAATATACGTACAGTAAACAGAACAGTACATTGTGTCATTCCGATTGTGAAATCGTTATGTGTGTGCATGTCCGCTGAACTATCTTGAACTATATGTCCATATGTTGCACAGACAATCCCATATGGTGCAAGACATCCACATGAGGCCGTGATCAAACCTGAGAACATACCGAAGAATCGTTTCCTTGCTCTGTATGCATGTAAGTACATCATGGACATTTCAGTAGAATGTCACTAGAATACAGTTGGTTGATATTCCTTAGTTAAGACATTTATTTTGCTTATATATAACACACACGATCGCACATACGTTATTTTCTGTGGGCTAGTTGATCTTGACTTGATTCTTATTTGAGTGAGTGAGTTAGTTAACTTTAACGTCACATCGGCAATATTTCAGCGATATCGTGACGAGAACAGTTTATGTCAATATTCAAATCAATAAAGGTATAACATGCAAACCTGTCACCGAAGGACAGTAAAACTACTAGAATATCACAGCTCTCAATTTAAAACTAGTACGCTATCATAAAAATATATCACGAGAGACAACAGTACAATATAAGAACGGGCTATAGATCACCAGCAACTGAAGGGTAATCACCACACTAAGGACCATGGGGACTTACAGTACCTTTGCTACCTACATGGACCCTTTTTGGATTTACATCCCTTCAGCCGCTGGCGATTGTAGTCAAAGATTCTTATTTGAAACTGTAATTGAGTTATGGTCTGTAAAGTAATCAGTTACTGATTAAGCCTACTCCTAAATATGCCTAAGACGAAATTCCATTATTGTGGTGACGCTTGCATGAGCATATACCAATCGGAAAAAGAGTCATAAAACCAATAGTATCATCAACAGTAAAATCAATAGTATCTCACTTTTGCAAATTCGATATGTTAGGAAGACATGAACCATGTCATATTCCCTATGACGTTTATAGAGTTAAATCTTGAATCAGATGATGATTCGAGGGTTGTGCTGGCGAATGGAGAAGATTACATTAACGCCAATTATATCACGGTGAGTTTTATTTGATCCTCTTCAACATCAAAGTGGAGATCCACTAATGTTCAATAAATGGAATAGTGTATAATTTCAGATTTATGTGTTCCGTATAAATTAGATTATTACATATCCATATTATACTGTTGTACAGTTACTGGTTCTAGTGATATCTGCACTGTTTTTTCGCAGGGATATGATGACACTGCACAGTATATAGCAACACAAGGTATGTACTATATAATTGCACATGATATATGTATAATAAATATATTCATAGATTACAATATTTTACAAGTTTTTGTTGCATATATGGTTAAGTTAAATTAACAATATGAGATATTCCATCGAAGAACAGTGTGTAATTCGTATTGTTTTCAACAAGGACCCAAACCGACAACAATCACTGACTTCTGGCGGATGGTGTGGCAGGAGGATGTCACACAGATAGTCATGCTGACGAGGCTGGTGGAGGTGAACAAGGTAGGATGTTCTTAAGGGCATGAAATTTGTGTCAAAAAGGTCCAATACATTCTGCTAGATGACATTTTAAAATTACATCAATAACTGTTACATGCCATGAGTACATTTTTGTGTATATGTTGTCAGAGAAAGTGTGAACAATACTGGCCAGATGGAAGCAAATCTGAAACCTACGGAAGCTGTAAAGTTACCAACAAAAATTTGTCCGCTCGGGCTGACTACACAGTCTCAACGTTTCTGGTAGAAAACTCGGTAAGTAAATATTCATGAAGTCAAAGAATTTCGTAATCCACATTCATCACCGGTATCAGTTACCTATTAAATAAGTATAAACGTGGAATGTTTACAAGAACGTATGGCATCTTATACTGTTACAATTGTACGTCTGGTGTGTACAGGGTAGCGAGAGAACTGTGACGCACTACCACTTCACATCTTGGCCTGACCATGGTGTTCCTTCTGCTCCTGCCCTAGTCAACTTCTGGAGACTGGTCAAACAGGGGGACATGGACAGAGGACCCATGCTGGTACACTGCAGGTATCGTAGAAGTTGATACATGTACGATGTAGATGTTATATGAGTCAGTTTACTGGACACAGAAGACATAGACATTGATACATTGTTATCACAGGAGAGTAGAGATGAACACATGCTCCCAAAAAGATGGGCTTTAACTGTGGACCTATGTACCTCCTCGGCCGTACAAATTTACCAAATTTACCATGAAGGTGATTAAACTGACATGTATACTAGAGATATAAAAGCTCGTACGAATTTTTCAATTTCTTTTCCCTTGGTGGTATTTTAGCGCTGGGGTTGGCCGAACAGGTGCATTCATTGCCTTGGACTACCTAATGGATGAAGCTGAGAATAAACACAGCGTCAACGTCTACATGTGTGTTGGCAAAATGAGACTGAACAGGATGAACATGGTCCAGACAGTGGTGAGTTCTTGAATCTCAAGAGTATCTAATTTCTTGAAATCCAACAATTAACGAGAAATTCGGTTCTGCAGCTTCGTGTGTAGGTGTTTTCCTCTTTATACTTCTAGACTTGGTTTGGGTTTATTGGATGAGAAGGTGTTTGAAGTTCGGACCGAATACTGAATATTGTATATTTTATAAGTACACTAGTGTGTGGAGTTTTGTTTAATGTTGTAATTGTATATACATTTTGTTCCATTCAGAAACAGTACGAGTTTGTGCATGATGTGGTCATGGAGGCTCTCAATAGTCGAAGGACACTGTACACTTCTTCCGAGTTTGACAAAACGTTTGGTGATGGTGGCACGTTTACGTCCCAAGTGAATATGCTGAAAGAACAATTTAAGGTAAGTACCTTTGACGGCTTTCAAGGGAACTTTTTATGTAGTTGATTACTTTCTTTCTTGTGCTGTTTATGAACCATGGTTTCGTGCTACAAGCAGAGTATGATAATTAAATCATTTGCATAGCGGTGCCTTTGTTTTCTTCAGTTACTCCAAGAACAAACATCACCCCTGGAAGAAGATTTATTCTCACAGGCACTGCTTCCAGAGAACTCGAGCAAAAATAGAAACCAGCGTATTCTTCCGGGTATGAACGTCTTGAAAAATGTACACTCCGGCTGAAGTTATTAAAAGCAAAACTTTTGTGCAATCACAATGAAATTGATTTCATTCGCAAATAAATAAGAATAAAGATATTTTTTATTTCCGCTTTTCGCCCACATATGCACTTCCATTCCACATTACATAGCTTTATGTGTCTTAACATAAAGTCCAAGATTATTAACTCTACTCGTTTCCTGCAATTAACTCATTATGATAAAGCACAACGTTATGCATCGTTGTAGGAAACAGGTCCAGACCCTACCTGTGTACTCCAGTTCCGGGTCGGAATGACTACATCAATGCAGTGTTTCTGCCGGTATGTTGGCTTGATGTAAGGTCAAACCGCAACATCATAAATGAATGACAATTAAGCTTTATCATTTAAATACTTCTTTTGTCATATGATGTGGAACCATCAAGATTGATAGAAATATAGCTAAACTTCAAAAGGACATAACCATTGAGATTCGGGCTAATTATATATAACTGGTTGCCTTCAAATGTTTAAGTCCATCCGTCGACCATCGTCCATGATAGTCACCCAGACTCCACTGCCAGATACTGTAGTAGACTTCTGGAGACTGGTGTACGACCATGACTGCTTCACAGTTATCTGTTTGGATGACTCTCAGGTAAAATGCTTTTAACTTTCAAACAGACGCATATGAATGATGGCAAGTGTTTCTGTCTGTTCTCAAGATCTACGTATCAGCATGATAAGATCACTAAGAAATATATTATTGTTATCGCGGATTGTCATTAGCATTAGATATTTCTTTTCAATCCAGGAGACAGAAGAAATGTATCCCAAAGATAGCAAGACATTGCAAATTGGACCATTCAGTGTAATGCATGAGGAAACAAAATCAAGTGGGACAAGCTATACCGAGAGAAAGTTAACGCTTGAATATGACAAGGAGGTTAGTTCTTTCCTTCGTGTTCAGTTCATTTTGACTGGCCTGTAGGTTCCTTGTGATAACACAATCAATTTACCCTAAGCAGAAAATTTAAATATATTCCTTACTTTCAAGCAATTATTTAAAGTGAATTATGATCGTATGACCCATGAGACAATGTTTTACTTTCAGCTGAAATATAACAACTGTTACCACTCTCGCAGCAAGATTTGCCATTAAGTTCTGACAATTGGACTGTAATTGGATTGGTAACTGAGTACTGGGTTGGTGACACTGACCAAGTGCTGTTTATTATAGATATCCTTTCCTTGACAAACAAATGTAAATGATTAGTTCACCTCAATATTTCAGGACAGACAGTCTTTACGTCAAATTGTTTCAGATAAAATGTTGGAACAGTTCAATTGAGAAAGAATGACTCGTATTGAGAAAACTGGTAACTATGGTTAGAGATTTGTTATACGTCATATTTGCCAAGGATATACATGTAGGCACATTCTGTATATTCTAGATACGCTGTTCATAAGAATATTGTGCCTGTTGCAATACTCAACAGGAGAGTGAGCAGTCAGTCACAGTGTTCCGCCTCCAGTCACCGAGCTTGATCTCCGACGCTTCTCCACTACTGGAGCTGATCAACGAGGTGGACAGAATCATCACCCCTGGTGGCCATAAGATCCTCATCCACTGCCGGTGAGTATTTCTAAATATATTTTTCCCTTGTGTAATATGAACAGCAAGAAACAGGTAAGAACCATGTAAGAGAGTGTTTTGTTGTTTAACCCTGTGCTCAGCAATATCACAACTGTATATATCTATATGGCGGCGGTCTCCTGGTTTGTAGACTGTCAGCTCTACCCGCACTCATGGCGATGCATGGTATAGAAATGATGCCTAAAAGTAAGAGTAAAAGAAGATGTCCCCGTCATAAATGCCGTATGTCATACGTGCTCCATCACCTATGAATACATACAGGTGTTATGTGTTGTAGTGGTGGCTATTATGTTGCACGAGTTAATGATATGTCGAGGTCAAGTAAAGTACTAATTGGCCTACTTTTACCAAACATTGGAGCGAAATGTACAGTATGGCGTGCATCAGCGCGCACGTGTACCATTCTCGTCTGAACCAAGGCCAGGTTCACTTCGTTGAAGGCTACAGGACACAGCGTCTGTGAGGATGCGCGGTTGCTATGGAACACGTAAACAGATTGACGAATTTCACAAACGAAGAACATTATGTATCACCATAATAGTTGTCAATGCAAACAATAACACAATTGGGTCAAAATTCTTTTAAATGGAGGCTTGCTGAACTGGACATATAGTCCAAAGATGTCACGGCTTGCATAAGTGTCTCATGTTCAATGCAGAGTATGTTGCATGAGTGCATTGTGCATCTGCACAATAATTCAAATTTAGGTGAATTTAACTGTTGAAATGAAACGACGCCTAATTGGAATGATATAACATCTGCTTGTTGTTGTGTAATATGCAACATGACATGACGGTTTCTATGAATCAGTGACGGTGCCAGCGTAAGCGGCGTGTTCTGCAGTACCCTGAACATCATTACCAGACTGAGACTGGACAGAGACATGGACATCTTTCTCACCATCAGGGAACTGCAGCGTGTCAGATCACAGTTTATACAGTCCTTCGTGAGTATTACAACTGTTTCATTTGACATCCTAATAGCACAAGGTGTTGACGTTGTAATCTATTTTAACGTATCTTTAACATGGAGGCAATAGACTTAAATGTATCATGTTTCTCGTAAGGAAACCATGCATTTAGTCTTGGTGTATGTCTAAAAGGTGCGTAAAACATTGATAAATGTGTAAAACATATATTTATTCATTGATATATAGTAGGAATTAATTAGGTTTAGCCAACTGTTTTTTTTCTGATAGTTTAATAGCGTAATGCCGGGGCATTTCAGGTTATGATTTTCCTTGCAGGATCAGCTGAAGCTGTGTTACAAACTGGTGAAGGAATATAACCGTACTTCAAACGTCTATGCCAATCTGTGATAAAGAAATAACAACCAAGTACTCTGCACAGATATGTTTTACATATAGTGTCCGGAATATTCCTAATTTGAGTAACGTTCATGCGCTTGATGTCTTGATAAGGCATGTACTCGAACAACTATCTCAGACTCAGAAGCTGAATTTGTACAACTGAAACCAGTGTCCATCAACGTTTAAAACTTGTAAATTCAATATTATTAGGGAATATGGCGGGACGTCACTTTATATCCGAAGGTATTTTCCGAGGCTTCAAATTACATCAAGAATTATACATCATTATACCAAAATATGTAATATCATGAATACTATGAAGGTTTACGATAGTTTGTCTGTAATGTTTGTTATTTTATCTCAGTCACCGCACATATAGCTGATTGAAGTTTGTCGAATTTGTGAAATAGGGTAACTGCAATCAACATTTTTGTACTTAATATTTTCATAATGAAAGACTATTTTATTGTAGATCATTCATCAAATTTGTATGGTTATTTGCCCCATTCACCAAATTGAATATGTTCTTGAATATAATCAGTGTGTGAGAGATTGGGTTTAGTTTTACGCAGTTAGTCGCCTCTTACGACAAGCATGGGTTACTGAAAATTAATTCAAACCCGGATCTGTAGTCAGGAATAGGTATTCTTCACTCACAATTTATACTCATATTGTCTGATCTGTTTTCGACGTCAAATGTTTTGACTGTTGTGTTTATGTCGTGTGTGGAAAATCCTATTGATTACGTGTCAACGTATGCTGTTTTGCTGCTTACAACTCATTGTTGAATTGATAGCATGTAATAAAAACTATTCTACAAGATACTTTCCTCTTCTTTCAAACATGTGGCGGAAAAGGAACAGTTTGCAAGTAGACTCCGCAAACATTGTTAGAATATCTGGTTCTGGAAGATAAAGGTTGACGTATGTGCACCTATTTGAGTGAGTGAGTGAATGAGTTTAGTTTTACGCCGCACTCAGCAATATTCCAGCTATATGTCGGCGGTGTGCAAATAATCGCGTCTGGAGCAGACAATCCAGTGACCATCACCATGAGCATCGATCTACGCAAGTGGGACACGATGACATGTGCCAACCAAGTCAGCGAGCATAACCACTTGATTCCGTTAGTCGAGACGACAAGCATGGATTACTGAAGACCGATTCCGGGTCACACACATATTAGGCATTTAACATCTAAGTTAATGTCCAAAAATGAAACAGTCAAAATGGTTCGTCAAAGTACAAAAGTACACGGTCCTCAACCGTCACATAGCCATTGGTGGAACCCTGTCATACTCTTCTTGAAGTGCAAAGCCAGGACTGATGTCTTATCTAAATACTTTACGTGCAGAAAAACACAAAGGCTATCAAGTATTGGTGCAGGATGTATGGATGTCACAGACTGCCATGCAAATGGTATTTAATATTCAAATCACTGGACGACTCAGGTCGCACTTCATGGGCTAATTATATTAAATATACTAGGACCGTTTAGATTCAGGTTTTGGATGTGTGTGGCCAACACAAGATGTTGACAATGTGAAGATATTTACTCACCTGTTGGAACAAAGATTATTTCACAGCAAATGTGGTGTAGTTTGTTCAACAGTTTATCCGATTCAAATCATTATAACCAATTTTAATCCCTGTTAAATGTAGATAAATATCTTACACCCCACTATCCCTGTACACCTGTACATCTACGGCTATGTATAACTCGTTTCACGTGCTGTTGGTTTTTTTGGAGATACACAAATGACCCATACACTGAACGACTATGTAAACATTGTATAGAAAGTGGAAATGTTTTTTTTTTAAGATGAATTGCACAATACATATATATATGGCTTGCAGGCGGGCGTTACAAACCCAAATAAGGATATATATTTCAAACAGTATAACAGTACGTGGACACACACACACACATATGTATGAGTACACACACACGTACACGCACACGCACACATACACGAAGATACAATTACACATGTGTGTGTGTGTGTGTGTGTGTTCCATTATACTTTCATGAGTGAAAACACGAAAAGAAGTTGTACCCACATATGTGCTGTGATAGGATGCGGGGCTGCTAGATTACAAAGTTTTATCTGCATCTATTCATGACTTGTTCAAGTGGCATTTAGAAGGTGGTATGATGAACAACAAGGAGAGTTCTATGGATATACACCTTCTTTAATATGATATGATCAACGTTTCGGTGTACCTACTAACACCGTTATCAAGCAAATGATGTACAATACTAGATGCAAGGTATATTTATATACATGGTAAAGTTGAACAGTAAGTGATGATGTTTACACAATTAATGAAGTAGATGTACAGGGTGGTGGATGTTTTTACAAGGCCAATAGTTACACAAACATAGTAAGCTATGGGGGATTGAAAGGGGGAAGCCAGTGATATGACAGACAGGAGAATAATAGGATTAAGATTGCTTGGTGATGAGTTGGTTGTAGGCAGTGGGATGTAATATCCTTGGTCTCTGTTCATGGCCGGTTGGAGTCTCTTGATGTGAATGGCTTCTAGTAGCTTTCTGATCTTGAAGTGGCTGTGATTGCTGGTGAGTACATTGATGCTGTTCCATAGGATGTTGTGGTCTGGGTGAGCTTGGGTGGGGTCAGTGATGGCGGAATTAGAGTCTTTCTTCTACACAGAGGCTTGATGTTCTTTGATTCTTACAGGAAGGGGTCTTGAGGTTTCGCCGATGTACGAGTCTCCACAGTCGCACTTTATGTGGTAAACTGTGCCTGAGGGGTCTTCTTTAGTTGTGGGGGTTGGTCTGCCGTTGGCTTTTAGGAGGTTCTGTATAGTAGTACCTCTCTGGAACACAACATCAATGTTGGCTTGGTGTTTTAAGATCCTCTTAGCCCCCCTTGGAAAATCTGCTAAGTCATTCATCACAGATTCCACTGATTTTTGTAAGAAGATCAGCACCATCAACAAACCAGGCCACCTTGTCAGCTACGATGTAGTTGACCTCTTCACTAATGTTCCCAGAGAACAAGCCCTAGCCATCATTAGAAGTAGGATAGAGGAAATCCATGAAACCTTAGAAACCCACCTCACCCCTGACAGCATCATCCGACTCATCAACTCCTGCATAGATCTATACGACAGACCTAGAAGAGAGAGCCCTACAGACATCGCCAATCTCCCCTATCTGCTGGTTTAGAAAAGTAGATGACACATTTGTCATCCTCAACCCTGATGATGACCCTAATACCCTCCTCAGCCATCTCAATGCCCAGCACCCTCGCATGAAGTTTACCATGGAGGAAGAAACAGACAACCAGCTAGCTTTCCTCGATGTCAGGATAGAGAAAGACAACAACAAGCTCTAGACCAGTGAATACCGTAAACCCATCCATACTGATCAGTACCTTCACCACTCATCTAACCATCCCCCACAAGTCAAGAGAGGAATAATAGCTACACTAACCCGACGTGCCAAAAACATCAGCTCCACATCACAACAACTCGAAACTGAACTTCAACATCTGCGCCATGTCTTTAAGACCTACAACAACTACCCTGCCAGCCTTGTAGACCGCACCATCAACGCCACCCTCAACCCGACAAACAAGCCCCCACGCCATCAAACAGCTCCGTTCATCATAAGCTTGCCCTATATAGGTTCAGCCAGCCACCAGATCAGCCGACTCTTAAAACACCAAGTCAACATTGATGTTGTGTTCCAGAGAGGTACTGCTATACAGAACCTCCTAAAAGCTAATGGCAGACCAACCCCCACAACTAAAGAAGACCCCTCAGGCACAGTTTACCACGTAAAGTGCGACTGTGGAGACTCGTACATCGGCGAAACCTCAAGACCCCTTCCTGTAAGAATCAAAGAACATCAAGCCTCTGTGTAGAAGAAAGACTCTAAATCCGCCATCTCTGACCACACCCAAGCTCACCCAGACCACAACATCCTATGGAACAGCATCAATGTACTCACCAGCAATCACAGCCACTTCAAGATCAGAAAGCTACTAGAAGCCATTCACATCAAGAGACTCCAACCGGCCATGAACAGAGACCAAGGATATTACATCCCCACTGCCTACAACCAACTCATCACCAAGCAATCTTAATCCTATTATTCTCCTGTCTGTCATATCACTGGCTTCCCCCTAATCCCCCATAGCTTACTATGTTTGTGTAACTATTGGCCCCTTGTGTAAACATCCACCACCCTGTACATCTACCTCATTAATTGTGTAAACATCATCACTTACTGTTCAACTTTACCATGTATATAAATATACCTTGCATCTAGTATTGTACATCATTTGCTTGATAACGGTGTTAGTAGGTACACCGAAACGTTGCTCATATCATATTAAAGAAGGTGTATATCCATAGAACTCTCCTTGTTGTTCATCTATTCATGAGTTTGTGTGTATTTGTAGGGGACATTTGTTGCTTAGATCAGCGCGCATTCATCGCTGCACCCGTGTGTAAATAAACGTTGTTGTACAAATATCCCTATTTACATGAACTGCCGTGGAGACTCGTATGAAATTTAGAAACCGGTCTTTACAAGCCAAAAGCAAAACAAGTTTTGATTCGATCACGTGTCCCGTATGTGCCTCAATCAATTCACTTCCTGGTACCGTACACATAGGTCCTAGTATAGACGTTCTGTTGCACAACTGTGAGGTGTCGGTGTGACAGGTGAGTACTGACATCACTCTTTTCATTTTGTTGTCTTAATGGCTGGTAGCTCTTCAAAAACATAACTTTTGATTCGATCACGTGTTCCTTATTTGCCTCAATCAATTAACTACCTGGTACCGTACACATAGGGTTTTTAATGACTGATGGCTCTTCAAAACAGGTATGTTGTGAGCAATAATGACTTATAACGATCATATTTCTTGATGGCAGTTTTTTCAGAACACGTGTGTTGTTGGCAATGGTGATTTATTACCAGTATATTTCTTGAGAATAAGCATGTACATGGTATTGTACCCGTAATGTCCTACAATATTACAAGTCACTAAACACATAGGCAGTCACGAACAGCTATTGTAAACACGGCATGGCGATATTTCAACTACACTGTACCTTGTTCAAACTAATACAGCGGTGGAATTCGTTCTGCAAATATAACACTCTTTAAAATGCACTACCCCTTGAAACATCTTACCTGAAACTACAGTTTTAGTCTGTAAAAGAGGAGGATAAATGTACTTTTCCACTTAATTATGTGCAATGTGTCCAAAACATGACGTCGTCGCTATGTAAATAATCGAGACAATCTTGTATATTGACAACAAAAGATATGGGGACATGATGACAAGGACAAAGTCCACACTGTCCCGTTTGTTGCCGGGTTGGTGAAGATTGATGGCTTGTTGTTTAACTCGGATCTTTACGTGGATGCTGAGCATAGGGTGTATCCAACCTGCACTGATAGGAACATAAATGCGTGTTTCTAATAAGGCACTTTTGGGTTATCCCAATACTTGAAAGTGGGAAAACAACGACTTCCTGAATGACAAAAGAAGAAAGCGTTTTCATTTTTAACTATCCTCGATCAGGAAGTATATTTTGGCTAGGCGTGTTTGCTTCGAAAGCGCCACATTGATCAGTAATCCAGCAAAATGGCATCGGTCTGTATATAATTGAGTTTAGACAAAACTATAAAGTTACTGATATCAAGAGCATCGATCTACGCAGTTGTGAAGTGGTGACATGCATCAACCAAATCCTCCGATAACGCCAGTTGCGGAAGATGAGTTTTAGCACGAATCTTTACGTTGATTCTGATGATGGTGCATATGCAGTTATATTCATAA